TCTAGTATGCTTAAGCCAAATACACTTGTCCCCTCGCTGTCCAACGGCCGCATCCACCGTATCGGTTGATTTCGTCCCGTCTTTGCATGCGGGTACTTCCGTGCACACACAAAGCACAGCAACGACGAGACATTGTCTCCTTCCAAGCTTTGCCGATACAGTCTCAGGGCACGCCTGTCTATGGATACATTTGCCACGGGCGCGCCGTGCTGGCAGCGCCAAGTAACCGCTCCTTGGTACGCGCGTAGCTTTTCTGCTTCGGTCAGTGTTGCCTCCATGCTGCTTGCAAAGGCCGCGTCGTGAGCAGTGGCTATGTGCACAGCCAGGTCTTCTTCATTGTCTGCTTGGAACTCACACGCCTTGAAACTGCAGTGTACATTTGGCAGGTCATACGCCACCCCTGCTTCCATCTTTTGCCAATTCCAAGGCAACGTTGGCTGCTCGCTGATTGCTTCACTCAGGCGCTCGATGCGTAGTTCTTCTGCGCGGCGGGGGTCCTTGCTCTGTTCGACGGCTTGCAGCTGCAGCACGTACAGGTCATCGTCAAAAAGCTCGCTGCTGACAGCGCTGTTTTGGCTAGCAGTTACGGATGTTTTCGTTCGCAGCCGTTTGAGTGGCCGCCACGTGGACACTGCCTTGGCATCCAGGGGGTCTTCCCTTTGTTGAGTCTGGCAAGCGCTGCTCTCAGTTTGTGCCTCCCCTTGCACAGCTTCGCGCAGCTGCTTCGTACGGCGGTTCTGCCTGGCGAGCCCACTCTCCCGCGCAGCTTGCCGTGGCTGACGCCGCTGTATCTTTTGACCAGTACTCGACGGTCTATGCTGCGTGCTCCTCGCTGGTTCCTCCCTCCGGGCTCTTTTCTGCGTGGCTCCCTTGTCTGCTTCCGGCGCTATGCCGTGCGAGCCCAATCTTTGGCCTGCGCCTTCTGCGCGGACTGCCCACTGCGCTGGTTCGTCGGTGCCGGCGCTGTTTGCCTCTGTCCTCGCCGCGCTTTCCTGCGCGCTCACGGCGGCAGCAGTTTCTTGTGACGCGGAGCTCCAGTCGTTCTCGCGCAGCGGCAGCCGGACTAACGCGTCGAAGTGATATCCCTTTCCTGTCGAGTCAGTATGATTGTACACGTACAGCGTGTGCTGCCTGTCACTGGGTGGAGCGCCCCTTGTGAAGTCTACGTACGCCAGCTCCGCCGCAGCTCCGCCCAGCGCTGCTTGATCAAGGCAATCATGGAAGTACACTCGAATGGCGATTTCCGCTGCCCAAAGCTCACGGAAGAAGAAGCTGAGAATACGCGGCGTATCTCTGTGCCTGTCTAAGTACACTCCAAGGGGGGTTCCATGCTCGTGCAGCAAGTTTTCCCGGCACATCGCGCACACAGACGCGCGCTCACCCACAGAATACTTCTGCGGAACGATGCCCGTCAGCGTCAAGCCCAGCAACAATGAATCAATCAGGCAGTTATTGACACCATGGGAGGAAGCAATCTTGAGGTCGAGGCCTTCCTCTTCCAGTTGACGCAGCCGTTCTCTGTTGGACGTCATCCGGACCGGCACGTTTGCGCCGGCAATTCGCAGGAAACGCTCTGCCACTGCCGCGGCTACACTGTCGCTGCCATTGGCTTGCAGCTCTGTCCAGCCCTGCCAGGAATCGACCCACTCTTGCGCCAATAGGTCTTCCACTTGCTTTGCATCACTGAGCACAGACAAGCAAATCCCTGCTACTAGCTCCCGCAGCTCTGGTGCTGGCCCGCCGCCACAGCAGCGCCGCAGCCGTGCCGCAGCACACACCTCAACAAACTTAGCTGTCTCTATTGCGTGGCTGCCCCACTGTGAGCTTCGGCTCGGACGGCGTCGCTGCACACTGCCTGCGCGTGAGCACGACTGGCTGCGCGCCTCCGGCACCCCTGGCATATGGACGCTGTTGGCAGCCTCTTCGCTCTGTCCATCACTACCTATCAGAGCATCTTTTACCACGCATGACCAAGCCATCGGCCGCTCTCCTGCAGCGTCCGCCCCGGTTCCAGGCAACCGCTTCACCCGGCCCCCCGAGCTATCTCGACCCCAACGCTGCACGGCTCTTGGTAGGGGCGACCTGTGGCTGCAGCCGCTACCTGGACAGCATCGTCCATCCTGGCCTAGTACCAGGACGCGCTGACGCCGCTGAGGCGTGCTCATGTACGACCGTTGTTCCCGCTTGCGTCGTCGGACTCTGCAGACGCATGCGTATGCAAGGGGTGGGTTTATTTTCCGGCAGACGCAGCTGGTTGCCAGAGCTGCCTGCTGCTGTCCTCGGGTTTTCGACCTGTGCTGTCGCGTCACCTGTCCCCGTGTTCTAGTGCGTGGCTGCCTGTGCGCCGCAGTCACCTGGGCTTCTTCTTCACAGCAGCATACCACGGACATAATTCGATGCCTTGGCTGTTGGCTCCACCTGCATGTGCGGTGCATGCACTGCAAAGTTCGGACATCGACCCAGGCCTCGGTTGCCACTAGTCCTAACACGGTTATGGGCCGAGCGTTGCAGCTGTGAACGCCGACCAAAAATGGCTCACACCACTCTTGCCATCGACTTACGTGCCTCACGCTCTGCTGTCCGACGGCAGCTTCGGCGTACGCCCTGCGACGACACGCTGCGCAGCGCATAGATTCCGTGGCCACACTGTCTCGATTGGCACGGGACCTTGTCGAGACCGTACAGCCGACTACACTGCCCAGGGACGCCGTCTGCGGGGGGTGCCTGTTGCCTTCCGTCTGGCCCAAGCACGGATGAGGATGAGCATGCAAGCTGTAAAAGCGCGAGGTCGACCGCGCCGAGGGAAACTGCAGGAGGTGCCGCGAGGCACTCAACGGGCTGCTCCAATGCCCTTCGGGACGCCTCTCCGAGCGACGAACCGAAAGCGGCAACTCGTCTTCGTTCCCCGGAGGGGCGCCCCGAAGGGCACGGGACAAGCCCGCTAAGTGCCTCTCGGCACCTCGTGCAGTTTCAGTCGGCACGGTCGACCTCATGCTTTTACAGCCTGCATGGTCGGCCTCGTGCGTTTTTGGCCCGCACGGAAGGCAGCGCGCACCCCTATCACTTGGCATCTCTGGGGCTAGCAGCTGCAGCCGAAACATTGCGAACGTGTTCGCAGGTGCAGCCACCTTCCTGTTGCGTCGACGCACGCCGTGCTGATCCAGTGTTGCCGACCTACTCTAACTAGGTCCACGGCGGATAGACGGCCGCGACGGAAGTCCGTCATGGTTGTGGGTCTCGTACCATCAACTTCATGCAGCAAGCGCAACCGCACCTTACAATGCTTCACCCCACCCCACCCCAACCCCATTCCCACACATAGCGTCCACATCGTCTCAAGCAAACATCAAAAACAACAGCGTAGACAACAAACATCCAAAAAAATGCAAGAAAACACCATGGCCGTCTATCAGCCGTGGGCTACCTACTCTGAGCGAGCTCCGCGGATTGCGAACCTGGACTTATGAAGGGCTCAAGACCTGTCCCCAGCCCAGTGCTCCTCCTTTACTCACTGTGATTCGGCATGGGCTACACCCTATAGCTGTACCTATAGAGCATCTGGTGTCAATTCCTCTTCTCCTTGCGCTGCTGGTGCTTTTTTCGAAGCCACTTACGCGAAGTGTCGGCCCCGTCCAGGTGACGGGGGGGACGATGCCAACCCACGCACGAAGCGCAAATGACGTTGGAAAACACTTTCCTTGCTCTCTGACTTTACCGATTTGTGCTCCGTTCGCTGGCGCGCAGCGATGTTGGAACATGTAGGAACCTACCCCTGCATGAAGTCGAGGACTGGCGCCCAACTCTTTGGGGGCGCAGACCGGTCTACACAGCTTGAATCGACGTGCACTCGCACTTTGCCCTAAGCTGGGTCGTCCCATTGGGCATCCTTTGTGCGGATGCCACTCGCTGCGTCGGCATTGACTAAAACTTCGAAGCTGCAGGTGTCATACCTCTGGCCAATATGGGGGGCTACATTTTATATGTGGTTGCATAAAACATAATTCGAAGTGCTTACACATTGTCTTTCAACTTTGCCAAACGTTTGGGGCACCCTTCCCTCGAGGCCTATCAGGCCTACTTTGAAGAGCTTTCAGCCAAGGTGAACAAGATTGCTGAGCTTCCAAGTGCCCCCCCCCAAAAGGATCCCAAAGCTTCCACAAACAGCACCCTGAAATCGGTAGACTCAACATCACAAATCCAACCAAATGGAATCACGTGGGATTGTCTGTGTCAACACAGGATACAGTGATAATGCATGAAAGAGCAGTAAAGTGACCCGAGCTGTATATGATTGCAGTGCATATGTGGTGGAACTTATTCGTATTCGCTGCCTGTTGTCCCCTTCAGTTCTATCTTGAATTGTTTGGATAATTTTCCCTGGGAACCTCTCATCGAACTGAAAATGGATGCCAGGACCGCTTAATTATAGATACTGTTAACCAAGCTCACATCACCTTTTAGGGGACAACATGGGTGCTTTGAGTCGGTAACACATGGTACTTACCAAAGAACGACAGATGAACCAGCCAACCTTCCTTGCACAAGTAAGTTCCTGAGACCCGGTTCGTCTTAGTAGTTGTCCTTTTGTCAACGTTTGTCGCTTGTAGAAAAGAACCAACGATGTCTAGCACCGCCCCAGTCCGGAAACCATTGTCTGGCATGGTGCCTCCGTTGCTCTGGGTTGCGGTCGGTCGCTGCGTTGTTTCTTTTCGGAAGATTTTCAGTCCAGGAATTCCTGCCAGTCGGTCCGCATGAGATCGGAGGCCTTGCGCCCTGATGCATTCCCTAAGTCGACTTGGGCAAAACTCGCCATACGGCACCCTGCCGCTCGTGCAACATTCTTTTGCCACCGGCATCCCGCTCTTCGGGGTTAGGCCGGGCGCATGAGAGGCGCCAGTCACTATCCACTGCAGAACCCCTACCGACAACTCCACCTAATAAACAAGGTAGCTGTCGCCTCTGCTGTCCTAGCGGCGCCGCCGCGGATCTCAGGATATGTCCTAACCTGTCGGCAGGGCGAAGTGACATCCCTGTCAGCGTCGTGGCTGACATGCATTTGCATTTTTTGCGATCTTCCACTGTCTTTACTCCTGAAGTAGGCAACTTGAGAGGAGGGAGAGACGAAAGGTAGGACAGCGGGAAGAGAAGAGAACGCGAGAGGCAGGAACAAAAATGCAATGTTCGACATGGTGATTTATCCCCTCGGAGGCGACCTTTCGTACATATATGTTCATATGCACTTTAAATGTTCAAACATGTGCTCTCGAAATGTTCAAAAAGATTCTTAGGAAAACAAACTTGCCCCATGGCTCAGATCATCGGTGAGCATTGAATCGGAACATCATAGGATTTGAACTATCCTGAAACCATAAGAGGCTCACGAAGACGCTCCCCAGGAGAGAATTGACGTGCTTCACAGAACACCTTTCGTGATTAGAATTTCATATTCACTCTTTCTGAATGTTCAAGAGGGTTTCAACTATCCTGAAATCATGAGAGGCTCACGAAGACGATCTCCAGGAGAGAATTGATTTTAGAGGGGGGGGGGGGGGTCTGAATTGAGCGATCAATTATTAGACCCGGACGTCCCAACACTTGCTTCGCAAGACAAACTCAAGGTATCCCCCAAAGGGCTACCTTTCGTGACATAACAAAATATCCAATTTCACGAGCATATAAGTTCATCGTCCACTATCTATAATGGTTTGCGGGCAGTTGTCAACAACCATGGGAATGTGCATAAATTTCTTCCTAGACTCTGGATGTATATCTCTTGATTTGGCAAACTTGCGCAATGCTGGAAATACATCGGCCTGGTAGTGCCGGCGCTTGCGCATGTTTTTCGGTGCCCCCTGGCATGACAATGCGCTCCAGGCAAAAGCATACTCCCGTTGCTTCCCATCTCTCCCATCTCCAAACATCTCAAGCACCCAGCGACATATATGCGTACAAAGATACATGCATCTATACACATTTATACATATCCACATACATACGCATATACATATCTGCACACATAGTTACATACATATCTACAGATATATATATATATATACATACATACATACTTATATTTATATATACATATACATGTTTACATACGTACGCACATACATACACACGCAGGGAGCCTGCGAACCCTTCGGACCCAAAATGGACCGTGGGGACCTTACCGGGATGGGACGGCTCTTAACGCGGCAGGCCTGACCGTGGTCGAACCCGTCCTGGAGGTCAGCAATTACTTGCTAGGAACGGTCCAGAAGCCAGTACTGGCGGGTCGACGTGCCGGCTCGAACGAGTGGACGTCTTAGTAGGGAAGGCTTGTTCAATAATTCAAGATTGATTTTCCCTTCTTGCAAAAGCTACACAAGTCACAGGGCAGAAACTCAAAGAACAGCCTCCCAGATTCAGGGACACGTCCGAGCACGTACATGGACGGCACGTCTGTCGGCAAGTTACTGACCCGTTGGATGACCCGTTTGATGTAGAATTCACTCAGTTTCAGGTTGAGAGTGTTTTTCGAAGAACGACCGTTCGCAGGCTGTTCTCAGGTTTCAGCCTGTACCAGAGCCACCTCCACGTCCGCGGCCGCGTCCCATGTCCTCTTTACACGCTTAGTATCTCTTCCGAAGCAGGAATCAGCCCAAGTCAACACCTGGTTTGACAAATGGATCCTGCCGGTCCCCAGTTTCCCAGATCGCCATCGAAGGAACGGGATCCAAGGCGGCCGGAAAATGAACTTGAGGCCAGGGGGAGGAGGTCGAAAGCTAGCCGAATCGCACCGGATGTACTAGTGACATAGTCGGCAAAGCATGTAGCGCTTACATGTTTTGGGAGAAAGGTTGCTGCGAGTCATGTCTGTGACCATTGTATGGTCGCCGCAAGCAGCAGCAGCAGCCGCCGCAGCAGCCAGCAGCCAGCAGCCAGCAGCAACCACCAACCAGCACCCAGCCAGCAGCACCACGCAGCAGCAGCGCAGCACCAAGCCGCAGCAGCAGCAGCACCACCAGCAGCAAGCAGCAAGCAGCAAGCACAAGCAGCAGCAAGCAGCAGCAGCAGCAGCAGCAACGGCGTCGTCAGCAACAGCAGCAGCAGCACCAAGCCGCAACAAGTAGCAAAGCAGCAGCTACAGAAGCGGCAACCAGCGGCAGCAGCAAACAGCAGCAGCAGGCCCCCCCCCCTTCCTGTGATATATCAAGCTTTAAGGCACGCAGCTCATTCCACTACCAATTGCTACAGCAAAAAAGAACTCAGCTAGCGTGCTAGCTTTCGTGACAATGGCAGGAATGGTCCAAATGAACTGATAAATGTGATCCACTCATGTGGCTTGCAAATCGAAGTCGTATGGTTTACTTGGCGCTCAGGTGACTCAGGTGACAAAAGCACTTCCCCTTCAAGCACAAATCCTTGCAAGTTGCTCCATGACAGTCTTCCGGCCATGCGCAAGGTCTTCCACCCAAGCTGCATTAGGTCACCTTTAGAGTCAGACCGTGCTCCTTCGCTGGTCCACGAAAGGATTTGGTATAATCCGGCCACCTGACCTATGATCTACCTGTATACATTGGGCTGTGACATGAGTCAATTGGACATCTCATCTATCGTCCAAATAGCAGCAGTTTCCTAGACCTGTTACTGTTAATGATAATGGCAATAGGATTTATATCTCTTTAACGGGTCAAGACGCCGTCTGCAGTTTACCTTGTTGCAACGTATTTTCATTCTGCGTTCCCACACTTTGTCTTTTCTGGTCGGTCGACACGACACAGATACCTGCCACGGACCTGTCCTGCCTGGCATTCTTCCGCCTAGGGGTCTTGACGTTTGCCGCTCTCCTCTAGGTGAAGCTCCAACTCCTCCAGCGTTGCGAGACTGAACAAGCAAAAGCTGCGTCTACTAGGACAGAGTTCGGTTGGAGGCCATTGCTTTCAGTCGCTCCTGGCACTACTACTGGCAACAAGAAGCTACTAGTGGCTAGAAGCTACTAGGCGGAGGCCAGGGCTATTAAATTAGGTTGGACGCCACTACTAGTAACAAGCAGCTACTAGTGGCTAGCTACCTGTTGAGCACATTTGAGGGAACTTCTTCACCAGGCTGCCTTCGCTCTCGGACTCCCACCGATCTGCAGCCTGCGGCCTGTACCCGCCATGGAGCACGGCCAGGCCACCCGGCAGCAGCGCACGGAGCTTGCGCATGGGCCTGAGGGGGAGGGGAAGCGTGCACACAGAGCTTGCTCCCTGCTGGACAGGACACAATCCGGTTGCGCGGACCGAGCAGGATGATGATTTTAGTCGCGGGCGCTTCGCTCTTGGAGAAATCGTTGGATTTGGGCCCTCAACAGTCCGGTTCGGGGAATGCTTCCGCTTCCCGGCCTACACATTCTGGGTGCTTTTTGGCAAGGGGCCTCAAAAAGAAAAGAAGAGATAAGGAAAAAGGAAGGCAGTGTTAGGGATGGTAAGGGTTTAGATTGCGGTCCTACTAGCTGCTTGTTCCTAGTCAGGCCAGCTACTAGTAGCGTCCTTGCTCCTCGTAGCAATGCCGTTTGTTCCCAATAGCTGCTTGTTCCTAGTCAGGCCGGGAGCTGCTAGTAGCGTCCTTGCTTCTAGTGGCGAGGATCCCAGTGATACTAATCAAGTATCACTATGATTCAGGGCTAAGTTTCAGGCTGAAGAATTGACTTCATGAGTTCCAACATCAAAGGACCTCGACAAATTCTACCTAAATCCCGCCTTCGAGCCCAATGTGGTGGCTTGCACCGTGGGGATCTTTGCCCGCGCGCAGACTCTCCCGCGCGCGAACACGACTGTTTTCGCATAACAGGGAAAAAGCCTAAGGCTGAAAAAACCCTGCAGCCCACACGTCATCAAGTTCGTTGATGCCTCTGTCACATGGTTCCCGGTTCCCGCGCTGCTGGCGTGCCCCGAATACACATGCTGTTGGATTTGCATGGTGCCTCTTCGTGCTTCGACATTGCCGTGCTGCTTCGCTAGGTCCTGAATACTTCTTAGCCGATGGATGTGTGCTATGTCCTCGTGTGATTGTTCAGCGAGGAGCGCCGAAGAAGAACCACGCAGATTTGAAACAAAGGGTTTACGCTCTGCTGGCGTCACCCCCCGAGCTCACCAGCGACTCCCGGCCGCACGCCTCACTCCTCCTCCTCCTCCCAAGGCAAAATCATGGCCATGCCGTAGGCATGGTGCCCTCTCTGGGACACCGACAGCCCAAGGATGCACACTTCCTTGCCCTGGACGATGTGCGGCGAGTTTGTGTGCCCTTCGTACAAGACCACATTGCCTGGGCCAACGCTCCAGTTCCGCACAACACGGCCAACCCCCTTTAACTAAGACTGCATGCACGCCTGCTAAAAGAGGCACATTGGATTAGACAGCTCGGTCACCTGCACATGCTTGTCTGCCTCATCCTTCACTTCATCCTTGTCAGTATCTTAACAAGCAATGGCCACCAAATGATGGGCCGCGGGAACTGTCAGACGCTCGATAATGTTCGATCTAGCAACTTCATGCCATCTACGATACATGCCGCTCCTCTGGTTTGCCAGGCTAATGCTACGATATACCTCTGTTGCTCCACAAACAATTGGCAGCCACCTTGCCAGCCAAGGTACAGGACGACGCACCCTCAGGACTGCCCGCATCACTGACCCGGATGGTTCGCCGCGGCCGCTCGTCAACCAGAAGCACTTCGGCAACGTCTCGGATCTTCATCTTGGCCCCAACAAAGACCTCGCCCTCAACAGGGACTTCCGCCTCCGCCAAGCTTGCCAGCACGCTAAATGATGCCACCGGATACTCCAGGAACTCGCCGGTCAACACACGAATTTCAGACCTGGTTGGGCCGGCAGGTCCCCCTACGTCGCCCCATCCGTCATGCGCACATCCATCTTTGCTGCCGCAGCATTTTCCTACCCCCGCCCATGGCCAACCTGCCACAACCGCCTCCCGCCTGTCCCCCAGTGCAAGCCAAGGATATGAAACGCTACCGTGCAGGACTCTACCGGGACTCTACCGTCGACGAGCAATCCCCTGACGGGTCTGATATACTCCAATGCCATGAACAACCAGAACCAATGCTCGCCCTGCTCTCTGTTCCTAAGATGCAGCCACGATACGCCACCGAGCGCCCCCTCTTTCGCGATCCTGCACTCAGGTTCACAGATAGTTCACGAGAGCACAACCTCGGGAACAGAGCCTGCTCCGGGAGCGTCCCGTCAGTCTGTTTGGTCCATGCATTGCGAAGCTCTGCGTGGCAGACCTGAATAACAGTGTCCACGCCAATGTCCACCGGCGGGGTGGCGTTACACTTTACCATCATGAACACGGCCTCGTTCCCCTCCTCGGCTTTGCTGGAGACAATGACTTTGTAGTTGGGGTATTTCGTACTCGTCGCACACAGCCAGTGCACTCTGCCCGTCGTATGCACGGGATGGATTGGTAAAGGCGTCATTGTGGCCAGGACATCGAGAGGTGTCTCCACCAATGCAGCTGCTGGCGCTACAGGTCGAGATGGCGCCGCGCCCGCCTTCGCCACTTGGAAACGTGGCATGTTCAGGCACTATCCCTCGGGCTTCTGGGACCTACCACGATGCGTTGGTGCTAATCGCAGCTTGCGGCGACCATACAATGGTCACAAACATGACTGCTTCCACAGGCCTGACTCCATATATTGAGTAGTTACCACATCTGGACTTTTGATCAATGACACTCCCCATTTGGATGCACGCACTGGCGCACATGACGAGTGATACTTTCCATTATTTCAGTGAGTGTAGAACCCCAACAAGCGGAGAATGTGTTCTTACAAGGAAACAGACTTGCAGTGGGAAGCCTCCCCGTATCGAGACTTAATCACCCAACTGGGGTGCGTTACCCTAATACTGGAAGGTTGCCACACCTACAACTCGTGCTGAGACCATGTCCAGACCACCTTGCAAGGGACAAAATCCAGTGTCCGAGATCTGGCACTCTAATACAGTACATCCAACATCATCCAACCCCATCATCCACCCCATCTTCCCAGATCTGGAACCCAGCTACCCCATCTCCGCACATCTATCCACCCTAATTACTTGTGGCGCCCCCAAGCTGTTCGACTGAGTTGCTCCAGGTTTCAAGTCCATCAATGCCAAGCGCTTCTCATCCCGAGCGTTGCTGGTAACGAAGGAGATTTCCGCATCAGCTGGCGCGACGCCGCACGTGGCAAAAACACGCGGAAAAGAAAAGAAAGCGGTCTCGCCACAGGTAGTCTGCTTTCAGCGCGGGGGGTTAGCACTTTTCCGTGTGAGCTGAGCTGGATGAGTGTGTCAAGCGGTTTGTCCATGAGATAGTGCACTCAAAATCCGCACCTTCCTGTCACATGGTCGTCAGGGTTTGGAGTCCATTTTCCACTCAGATGGGTCTGTTGGGTATTATGGTATCAACTTATCAACCAAACAGATCCGTCCAACGGACGGTGTCCGGTGTGGATCTATGCAGCGGCCACTCCGAAGAGGTACAAAGCGACTCTCAAAACTAAGGGGTACATGGCAGCGCAAACCTAAGAGGTACATGGGTCTTCGTTTGGGGCAAGTAAAAACACCGTCCTGTCCGCTGCGTCCATAGTGGACTGCGTCCATAGTATGCTGCGTCCATTTGGAGACTCCACCAGACCGTGGGTTGAGAGTAGATAGCACAATCCCCCCAAAAGTGGTTTATATTATGGATCCCCATCTGTCTCAAACATCTTGGGGCTTGTGCCATCTTACTCAGAAACCACTGTAGCATACTGTCGGCCTTTCCCTATCAAAATATCAAAACATATATAGAGAAGTCACCTGCATACAACAGACCAGCAAAGATCTATACCTACAACAAATGTGTCCGCATAATCCTTCTCAAGGCCTCTCCACTTGTTGAATCACCTGCTGCTACTGATGATTCCGCTCAAACATATTTCAAGAGGCCCTGATGCGATGAATTCTTGATCCGGATAAGTGGTCAAGTGGTTTGCAGATTCTGCTGCATATCCGCCAAACAGTCTGGACATCAGCGCCAAAATAAGCAAGAAGCAACTGTTCCTGTGGCGTTGCATGAAGTCCTGCCTCCCCAATCTATGGAAAGACATGAAAAAGCCCTCTGCCTAATGCCAAGCGCTTCTCATCCCGAGCGTTGCTGGTGACGAAGGAGATTTCCGCATCAGCTGGCGCGACGCCGCACGTGGCAAAAACACGCGGAAAAGAAAAGAAAGCGGTCTCGCCACAGGTAGTCTGCTTTCAGCGCGGGGGGTTAGCACTTTTCCGTGTGAGCTGAGCTGGATGAGTGTGTCAAGCGGTTTGTCCATGAGATAGTGCACTCAAAATCCGTACCTTCCTGTCACATCGTCGTCAGGGTTTGGAGTCCATTTTCCACTCAGATGGGTCTGTTGGGTATTATGGTATCAACTTATCAACCAAACAGATCCGTCCAACGGACGGTGTCCGGTGTGGATCTATGCAGCGGCCACTCCGAAGAGGTACAAAGCGACTCTCAAAACTAAGAGGTACATGGCAGCGCAAACCTAAGAGGTACATGGGTCTTCGTTTGGGGCAAGTCAAAACACCGTCCTGTCCGCTGCGTCCATGCTGGATGCTGCGTCCATAGTATGCTGCGTCCATTTGGAGACTCCACCAGACCGTGGGTTGAGAGTAGATAGCACAATCCCCCCAAAAGTGGTTTATATTATGGATCCCCATCTGTCTCAGACTCTTGGGGCTTGTGCCATCTTACTCAGAAACCACTGTAGCATACTGTCGCCCTTTCCCTATCAAAATATCAAAACATATATAGAGAAGTCACCTGCGTACAACAGACCAGCAAAGATCTATACCTACAACAAATGTGTCCGCATAATCCTTCTCAAGGCCTCTCCACTTGTTGAATCACCTGCTGCTACTGATGATTCCGCTCAAACCTATTTGAGGAGGCCCTGATGCGATGAATTCTTGATCCGGATAAGTGCTCAAGTGGTTTGCAGATTCTGCTGGAAATCCGCCAAACAGTCTGGACATCAGCGCCCAAATAAGCAAGAAGCAACTGTTCCTGTGGTGTTGCATGAAGTCCTGCCTCCCCAATCTATGGAAAGACATGAAAAACCCCTCTGCCAGCTACCGTGTGCTGCGCCTGCCAACAAGCAAGGGAAGAGCTCCGACGGGAAGCCACGCCTGGTCTGGGCATCAACCCAAACCCTTTCAACCGCAGCCTGCTGGGTATCAATTCTCAAGCTACGTAGCACAAACACAAAAGCCGGGCACACATATCGACCCGCCGGCTGGTGCTGGAAATACCAAAAGCATCCCCAAAACCATATTTCAAGGTCTGACAAGATCCTTGACTGTATACATCCAATGTGATAGATCAGTGTGCGCTAGGTTTCTTCAAAAGCCCGTTCACCATGGGCCGCAAGAAACCAAAGGCCACTCTCCACCGGACGGAAGCAAGTCCTTCACACCATCGTTTCGTTTGGAGTGAACAAGGCTTTGACCGAATGCATGGACTAGGCAGTCAAATCCAGCATCGCTTTTACACAAACACGCAAAGCACCCACAGCGAGCTGCCTCAAACTATTAATGGACATGTTGTGACATGTTCTTCCCAAGCACACTGTAGTGAATCCCTCTGTTAGGGGTCTGCTCTGACAAGTCACTAGTTACGAGTAGTTCCATAGGCCTTCGAAAACCATCTTTTTCCTCGTGAAAGTCTCTGCAGTGCGACCCTGTCTGCCCTGCGACCCTGGCGACCCTGGCGACCGAGAGGGCACTGCTCAACCCCCCAAGTCCCCAGATTAAATGACCTTCACTTTGTTTGGAAGCCCCACAGGACCGAAGACTGCCCAGGCTGCCCCGACTGGATGGCGATCAACAGGTTGCCGGCCCAACCTGAGTCCCGCAGTGCGGTGCTTCGGGCCAGGTGTGACATGAGTGACGTTGGGTTGTGGCGCATGCTCGTCATGGTTTCATATATTATTTGATGTCTACTAGCTGCTTGTTCCTAGTCAGGCCAGCTGCTAGTAGCGTCCTTGCTCCTCGTAGCAATGCCGTTTGTTCCCAATAGCTGCTTGTTCCTAGTCAGGCCGGGAGCTGCTAGTAGAGTCCTTGCTTCTAGTGGCCATGATCCCAGTGATACTAATCAAGTATCACTATGATTCAGGGCTAAGTTTCAGGCTGAAGAATTGACTTCATGAGTTCCAACATCAAAGGACCTCGACAAATTCTACCTACATCCCGCCTTGGAGCACACTGTGGTGGCTTGCACCGTGGGGATCTTTGCCCGCGCACACTCCCCCGCGCGCGAACACTACTGTTTTCGAATGACAGGGAAAAAGCCTAAGGCTGAAAAAACCCTGCAGCCCACACGTCATCATGTTCGTTGATGCCTCTGTCACACGGTTCCGGGTTTCCGCGCTGCTGGCGTGCCCCGAATACACATGCTGTTGGATTTGCATGGTGCCTCTTCGTGCTTCGACATTGCCGCGCTGCTTCGCTAGGTTCTGACTACTTCTTAGCCGGTGGATGTGCGCTATGTCCTCGTGTGATTGTTCAGCGAAGAGCGCCGAAGAAGAACCACGCAGATTGGAAACATAGGGTTTACGCTCTGCTCGCGTCACCCCCCGCGCTCACCAGCGACTCACGGCCGCACGCCTCACTCCTCCTCCTCCCAAGGCAAAACCATGGCCATGCCGTAGGCATGGTGCCCTCATGGCCTCACGGCACATCGTCCCCATCAGCGCCTTCTGCTTCGAGCTCCTCATCGGCCCGGGAGGTCACACAATTGCGGATGGCTGCTGCGTCGGCTCTTGCACCTCATTCCACAAACCACACTTAGCAAACACCGGTTGCCTACGCTAAGTACCCATCACAGCTTCAACCCAATTTCACCCAATTTAGCAACCACCAGATCCGGCCAAGCCACCAAAGAGCGTGACTTCTGAAAGGTGCCCGATCGTGCGCCTCAGGCGCGACTGCTTGCCGCCTCCCGGCAACAGCTCCGCAAGACGCGCTGCCGTAGCCGCGCTGCGTTTCACTCCACTCAGAGCATCCGCTTTGATCGCTGTGGCCTTGGCTGCCCCCGCCGCGTCCCCAAAACCGGCTCTACACGACTACGCCCCGCTCCTCCTTTGTCCGCCTATGCTTGTCGATACTTGTAGACCTGTCTTACAATCTCACAGTTTCCCTCCACCCCCCCCTGCGCCAAGACGCTTTCTCTGCATTGGCCATGTCGTCCTGCGTCACCTCTCGCGCCAGTCCGATCTTCTGGATAGACTTCGCGAAAGCTTCGAAGCTTCTTCGACTTGGGCAATCGCACTCAATTCGAGCCCGGTAGCCGTTGCGTAGCGGAATGGCCATTTTGAACTGCACCTCTGTCCTGAGCTCCACGCCAACTAAGAGAATTATTCCACTTGCGCTTGGCACAACCATGGTTGTTCAGGCCCCTAACTGCATGGTCAGCCCACTAATGACCTACAACCACGGTTCCCAATCGGCCCGCAACGCAAGGAATTAAGAGACCCTTCCCACTACAGAGCCACTGGCTCAGATACCACAACCACCTTGTCTACACCACCGCCTCCGTGCACCTCAGGCCCGACATTGTCGCCCCCACGAACAACGCCTTCTGCCGACGACTATCTTCCTCCCTCAGAGGATTTCCCCCACTGCTCGCAGCTGCCAAGCCACGAATGCTGCTTCAAGAGCGCGAGGAGATCCGTCCTTCTCCGCATGTTCTGTTGCTCCCTAAACTCCACAATGCAGGCCTTTGAACAGGGGGCATCTGCTCTATCCACTTCGGCGGTCACCAAGCCCACATTGTCCACCGCAGCTTCGACAAAATCGAAAAATCGAGCCAACGCCGCTCGCACTTCCAGCGCGTTCTCCGTGACCTGGATGCTTCCGTTCTCCTGCATTTCGACTTCGAAGCCCAGCTCCTGCAAAGTGCTGGGGCCAGGACCGATAAGTCGGCGGCGGCTGTGCGCGTTAGGCGTCAGGCGTCCCGTCAACAAGTCTACCCTACACGAGTCAACGCCGCAATTGCATTCCCGTCTGTGCCGTTATGTGCGTGCGTGCATAGATGTGTATGACTCGATCCAATCCACGATGGTAAAACTCCCCCGTCAGCCCGCCTTGGACAAGTAGAGCTTGATCTTGTGAAACTCTTTGGCAGCCCAAGCCTCCCGCACAGCAGAGTCTGCCTCTTCCGAAGGCTTCAGGAGCCGAAGAACTGCCATGGTGCCACAGAACCACTGGGGACGCCGAGCTCAGCCAACTAATCTGCGGAGCAAAAGCAAGGATTTTCACTTTACTGGCGATATGCCTGGTGCGTGCCATAGCCGAACTCGGTTTCTGCGTAGGCCATTCCAACATGAATCAATTTCGCAACAGTGGCCCTACGACAAGCCTAATATAACCGAAAGCAATGGTTTCTTTTGCGCAGGGTCCTTCATAGGCACGCCCTGGTTCAACTTGTTTTCCGATGGGAATGAAGCTCCCCCAAACAGGGACAATTTTTCACACCAACAAGCATCATGGGTACCAGCTTGGCTCGGTTTATACTTTGCAACCGCCAGCCAGAGCCGCTGAAATGTGGATTCCTGGTCATCACAAGACCGTCAACAACACGACCAACCGCCCCAGAAGCAGCCCCAGATCCGGGCCTTACCGGTACCTTGGGGGTCTTGGGCTGCGCCAAGTCACGGCGGTACGGCAGCCACTGCGGATCTTCGCCACGAGCCTCACCGGCGCCTCGGGGGCGAGATGCGGAGCGCGAGAAGCGGAGCGCTCGGTCGATGCGCTCGGTCATGCATTGGGTCCAGGAGGGTCATGGGTCCATAGGTCCATAGGTCCATAGGTCATGGGTCCATAGGTCATAGATTGCAGATGATTGCAGATGATTGTGGACAGGTCAGTGGAAAATTGAAAGCGAATGACTGGGCACCGATGTCTGAAAGAGACCTGTGCTAGCACAAACCTAGCGCAAATGCTGGCGCGGATCTAGCGCACACAACTCAGAACTTGTTCCAGTTTGAGATAAAAACAACACACATCACAGAGGTCATTTCTGTCTTTTCCCCAGTATAGTATACTACTACCCAAAAGCATGTCAGCAGACAGCCTAATCTACGTCGGTCAGCCACGGTGTGGCTTGAAGCACTTGGTCATGTGCCGCAAGTGAAAACCTAATCCTTACAAGCCATACTTGTTGCAGGTCATTGCAGGTCTCTGACAGACGCGGTTGTGCCATGCTTTTACCACTTCAATTTTGGCAAACCCCCGCCTTAATGGCGATCTTATGTTAGGTACCTATCTTCAGTGCCTTCATCCTATTTCTCATGATTTCTCTGCCCATCTCTGCTCTCCACATCCCTCCAACCCACCACCCCATCCTGCGCTTCGGCCCTTCGAAGGTCTTCGGACCTCGCCACGCCCTTCAAAGCTCAGAGTCGGCGGGGGGGGTCCTGCGAGGATGGAGCTCTCCACGAAGGCATTCGCTTCCAGATCCTGCAGATCCCACAGCACAGCCTGGCGATCCACACTGGGGCATAGATACTTGTCCATCCATCGGATCCATTCAGGGAGACACAGACTCTATAACGTCTTCTTTCTTTTCAAGGGTCTACGAATGTCTACGATTCTGACATGCTTCTGACTTCCAGAGGTTCCGAATTGCTTCCCATCTGCGCTACGCGCAGGTGGAAGTTCAACGAATGATGGGAGTCCAACGCGCAGTGCTTTGGGGTTCGGTCCGCCGGGGCGATGTATCAAAAGCGTGGAGTGTAGAACCTGTGACATGCTGGATGTGTTGGTCCTCCAAGGGGGCGAATTGTCTATGTCATTGGTGCACGTATGTAAGAACAAAACAGTTCTCTTCGGAAAAAGAGTGCCAATGCTGGGATATTGCGCTGACCTCGGGAACCGAATCATATGCCCAAACCCAAACCCCTGGCCAACGTAAGTGCATTGACCAGAACGTTAATAGACCCTGCCCGAACCCAAACCCAAACCCCTGGCCAACGTCAGATCAGAAACGCAGCAGAGACCAAGCGTAGCGCAAGTGTAGAAACTGCTGTGACCAGAACGTTACACAGCCAGCCAACAGCACCAACACTATCACCAGCACCGGCAGCCGGCACCCAGCACCAGCGCCGGCACCATCAACCTGTCTCCACCTGCACAGCCAGCTCACGGTACCAGCAATCGCACCGGCACCACCACATGCGCAGCCGGCACCCATCACCCCGCACCAGCACCAGCAACCTCTGTCCACCACATGCACAGCCAGCTCACAGCACCACCACCAGCACCGCCACAAGGCACCCAGCATCAGCACTAGCAAACTGTCTCCACCACAGACGCACA